TAAAATTGAAGACTGCGAGTTTATACATGCACACAAACACAGCTGCCAACTGGACCAGAAGTCTTAAAGTGTTTTATTTTGACAGCCAACATGAACACGMTGGATGTTAGGGAATTGAAAGAGAGGGAGAAAAAGAAATCATAAGCCTTTAAAAAAAAGTTTGAAACATTTTCCCAAATAAATCTTTGAAAGTTTAAATGAAGCAGATGAAGCTCATTATGGTGACTCATCCAAATCAGGCAAATTTCCAAGACTTATACTTTGAGTTAACTGAACTGATCAAAAAATCAATGGATTGAAAGGGTAGAAGTGAGTCTGAAAAGTTATAYGCTCTGTTCAAATGGCTGGCAGGAATGTCAAATATTCAAATTATGCCTAATGACCCAAGACCTGCCACCTGCGTAGCCATTTTTAAAGCCTGTAGCAAAGTGTTGGCTCGCAAAGCCCACTGCAGTCGGTTTTCTTTGCCACATATCGACAGTCAAACTCAATCTGTCTCCCTCGCTGTGACCCGGCCCCTGAATAAGGTGCTGCTTTCTGCTGAGCCGATGGTACGGGAACAGAAACGGTGGAGATGATAAATCCATCTGTCCGCTCAGGTGGTACATCCAAACCTTGCCCCGCTCTTGTACCAGCGCAGCAAGGAGACGATGTCGGCGTTTTGTGAGCGTCAGCAGGGTGCACAGGAAACAAAACAAAGCAAAGACATAAACGCTGTGACATGACACTGTTGGAGAGGGAACAACACACAAATGCAGATGTGAAGGAAGGATGGGAGTCCAGCAAATACTATGGAAAGCCAGTTCTATATACAGTACATGTAGCAGCTTTGAAACTAATTTGTCAGATGAGCCATCCGCAGCTTCCAAAAACGTTTGATAAACGGATATGTTTCATAAAAATCTTGAAACCTATTTTGGTATGCATGAAAATTAAAAACAGAGTAATTATTTGCAAATCTTTTAATAGGGCTGGGCAATATGGCTGATAAATGTATTGCTATTTAATCGTTTCATATCCGTCAATAATTCTTAATTAGTTTTTTTTWMCYKKTTKRAAWWRRGRAMMRARGRAAAAAAARGCTGATTAATACTGCCGAGCTAGTGACCTTTCCTTTATCCACCATTTCTTCTCAAGCTGTTGCACTCATTTTTATTTTTTCCTTTCACTTTGCGTCCTTCTCTATTTTTAAGCAGTTATGAAATGCTGTGGCAAAACATGAAAGTGCGAATGCTCAAATCACTCAACAGGTTGTTGACTTATGAATGCTTGATGACTAAATCATRTTCTTTAGGTGATGTATTCATTCTTATTGTTACCATATATGCCCAAATGAGGCTTCCAGTAGTTTTTTTTTTTTTCATCTTTTGCGTAGACGTCTTTAGTGTTGGACAAAATGTTCATAAGTTGTCTAAAACATTATAATGAGACAGGGACTTTACCAAAGTATTGATGCCACTTACCTTGTTTAGCTGGGCCGTGAGAGGTTGAGCAGTTCCACAACCTATCCCCCAGAATGCTGTGTGGTTCTGCATAAGAGTTCTATTTAGATTGATTACTCGCCTTCCGTGGAATACTTTATGTTGTTTTATTGCTCAGCCCTTTCATTTAAGCATTATTATTAGGTGAAAATAATTTCAAGGCAAGATGTGTTCTTTACCCCCCAAAAAATGCTATTTTGTGCATTTGATGCCCAGCAGCAGATTTTAAATAATAAATAATAAAATAGGACAGGAGCATGTTTTCCACTATGTTGCATCATCTTAAAACAACAACACTATAAGCGTGTTGGGAGCTGAGGAGACCAGCTGCTGTAGTTTAAAAAAATTAAGTGAACCAAATCGCTTTCATTTTCAAATGCTCGATTATTATTATTATTATTCACTAGGTGAAGGGGTTTGTGTTGTGAGCTGAGAAAGTTGAGCAGGAAAGCACTTCATCTGTGAGAGTGTTGTTTGGCTGTGTTGCTAAAAAAGGCAAATGATGCTGGGTGTGGAAAATGTGTTCAAGCCAGACACCWGGAATGTTTTAAAAGACTCTTTTCTTTTACCTTCTGTAGTTTTRAAAAGAGGTCAAATTTGAGTAGTTTATATAGAAGATGGCTTGTGACAATAGGGGAGAAAGAAAAAGCTGCGCTGAAATTTCCAACATTTCACTTCTCTCTTTTTAACRTTACTGGTTCAAACCTTTTATTAAAGTACCCGAACAGTTCGTACAACCAGAACTTCCTGATGCCTTCTAACATCTGTCGGCCATTTTTGCTGCAACAAAACTAATTGTGCGAGCGGATCAAGACGGCAGATGTAGGTCAAAAACATAAGAGGGGATTCTGCTGATATTTAACAGCAGGCCACTAAGGACGTACAGGGCATCAGTTCTTAAAGGGAGCATCWTGCAGGCTTATTGTTTAGACTTGCCACAAGTGCCCCTGCTGTTCGTGTCGAAAGGTCCTATTTTAAATGTCTTCAAACTCCTCGCACCCTACAGATATCAGGGCGTTTCCAAGGGAACAAAGTCTGAAAGGGAAAATTGCTTAAGGGAAACAGAGAATATTCTAAAGCAGTGTTTGTAGCATCTTGTTTGGTTGAAAAAATAAATGAGCTGGCTCGTAGTGTTGAGTAACTGTAAAGCAGGTAAGCTGTAATCATTCAGAATTGGATTGGAACAAGAAGAGTGAAAGTCATGCCCTTTACAAAAAATGTGTTTCTATAAAGTGGGGGGAAAATTAATGTTTTGGCTTAGAGAACTGCATAATTTTCAGTTCTGTTTTTGAAAGCTGCTCTTATAAATCTAGAAAACAACACATGCAATCATTTTGTAAATGAATACAATATTACTATATAGTGTTTTCTACCAAGACAGCAATTCCTGGATCAGGTTTAAAGTGCTGCACACCTTGTTTCCTTATTAAACTTTTAGATTTTAAAGATTTCCTTTCAAYTAATTTGGTTGTAACTGTCCATAGCTAATGGTAGTTTGTGTTTATCAGTTAAACCACTCTATTAGCGAAAACCACAGTAGATGGGACTGAGTGTGCAGACAGGGTTTGCTTGAGTTAATATTCCAACAAATTTCTCAAATTGGATTACAGGAATACCCCCGCCGTTTATCTTTTATTCCCCCTGCATTCTCACTGCCGTGTGGATTTAAAGGAAAAACAAGCCCGCTGTGCTGCTAATGGAGCTCAGGCTGATTAAAAATTCACAACTTCAGGAGGCTCCTTTCCTTGTAACCGAGTGGAAACAGCTTTTAGCTGTAATCTGCAAAAAAAAAAAAAAAAAAAAAAAACGCAGCCCGTTTTCAGTTTGTAAAATGTATTTTTCTCATTTATGAGTCTCCTCCACTTCCCCTTAGCTACGGCCCACAAAAGTGTAATGTTCCATTTGCTGTTATAACAAATCCTAGTAGTAATTTATCGCTATTTAGAAAACAAGCAGAGCTAAACACTTCTTCAGAGGCTCAGATGTCTTTGTGTAATTGCTCTTTGTATTGTTTTTGATAGCTAAGAGTATACAAAAAGTATAAATTACTGAAATGCTAAAGTCATAGCTGAAAGTTCCTGAAGGAGCTGAACAGTTTGGTATATAAATTGTAGAAATGTACAAAGGTATGGGAATGAGATGCATGCTGAAAAACGGATGATCTCAATTGTGTAAATATTAAATTCAATTCACATTCACACTATGAATTGTAGATGCTTTATTAAAATCTGTCCACTGGTTATTTTGACGACAGACGGACGAACCTACAGACACAGTGGCAACATGAGGGTCTGCTTTTTATGGTCGCAGGAAACAACAAAGCAAAACAGGTCGAGCAGCAGGAAAATATGCAGATTTAGGGATGAAAATGTTACTTGGCACAATCAACGGGAGCCGGCCCGTTGATAATGAAAACAAAAATGAGTGGTTTCATTCCCCGACTTTGCTTTATTTTAAAGTTCAACGGCACGTTACCTTCCTTTATGTGGCCAAAGTGTGGGGGAGTGAAAGGTCTCTTGCCTGCAGGGATCTCYGCCCACTCAGCCACGAATGCCCACCGATGAGATCTGACTCACAGTCGGCGTTTCCATCGCATCGCAGAGGTGGTGGGGTGGGTTTAAAGCCAGGGCCTGTGCAGACTAGTGAAAGGGGTTCTCACACAAAACTCTGCAAATGTGACGCACGGCAATATTTTCTCGAGCTGAACCAGGAATGAAGCCATACAGTTGAAACAACTCTGTTTGGTTTTGTTCCCATTTTAAACCTTGTTGTATATCTCGCTTTTTTTCCCCCCCACTCGCTCTGTGTCGACGGCTTTCGGGGGTGGATTTGTGTTTCTACACCTGTGTGTTCTCGGCATCGGCTCGGCAACTTGTAGCGCATGTTTATCACTGTCTCGCCTCCGCGTGTAGATTAGTAACGCGATGGCACCTCATCCGGATAACCCTCCACGCTCGCACAGCGCTGCCACAGAGGTGATGGAGGAGAGAAGGCACAGGTTTATCTCATGTTTGGAGGAAGCACTGATAACACACTGCCCTCTAGTGAAATGGTCTTTTTTTTATAAGGGGGGATTCCAGTTATCTGAAACGCAACAAATCCAAACAGACAGGCACAAATAAAGTTTTTTTCAGGTTTCTTACAAAGATTACAAGCTGTTTAAAAATGCATTGACTGAGTTTTATTTTCCTTCCCAGGACTTTGACAAGCCCAGTCCACCACAGAAACCGCTGCCTGCGGATCCCTTAGGAAGGAGCTCTCGAMTGGGTCACTGTGCCACACCAGGAGGGGTCCACATCTCAGGGACTGGAGCCCTCCCAGTACCCATCCCCAAAGTGCCCAGACCTCCACCCAGCATCCCTTTACCCAACAGGTCCGTACATCCTAATAAATGACATTAAGGGTTTTCATCATTTTAGTCTTATGTTGGAAGTGGGAGTCTAATAAATGTATATGTTTATTTTTAGGGTGGTTCGATATTTTTATCATTTTTTTTTGCCCATTTTTATGCACATAGCTAAAAAAAAGTAAAGTTTTGCAATGTTTGCAGTTAAATGTCAACCATAAAAAGTGGTGTGATGGATTTAGCTTCCTGAGCCTGATCATGAAAACGTGACATGCTTCGTATTTCAGAAGGCTTAGCGTGTTTTGGACCTACAGTATGTCTGACCTAGAAACTCTGCCAACAGGATTTTTAGATAAACAAGACAAATTCATACATGCTGCAGATATGTGGCCAACGTATTAAACACGGGTCGGAGCGTGACTGAAAGGGGAGATTTTTGTCTCACTGTACTTCATAACTGATTATGTACGTGTTTACTCTGGATTTTCAGAGCAGCGTTTTGAAATGTAGTCATCTCAAAAACAAATAGTTTGAGTTCTCAGCTTTTTATATTATTATTATTTACTATAAAAAATAGTGTCTTAAACCAGAGATTCTTAACCCATGGGCAGTGGCCCAATTGTGGGCTGTGAGCGCCACCTTGAGGGCCTCAAAAGAACAACAGTTTTTAACTTTGGGCCGCAGAGGGCCGTGGGACCACGATTTTGAATAAAGTGCAATACATTTTCTTACCACTAGTAGCAGTAGTGTGCCACTCAGTTGTTTAACAACTTTTTAATACGTAGAAGAAGAATCTTAGAAACCTGCCGAGAATGGAAACTTATTTTAAATGAAAAGTAGAAGCAAAAATGAAAGTAACTCATCAAAAAACACCAAAGTTTGTCACTAATATGAAGAGCAGCTTCTGTTTTTACTATGCAATATTTTAAAAGTTCAAAACATTATCAAACACAGTTGCAGATTCAACTATATTTTAAGTTGCACTTTAAACTACATTCAAAATGTTTAAAAATAAACTACAAAAGTTAATTTAAAGAAATTTTAAACTTGTCAAAAAGTTGTTGTTACTGTTATTGTTTGTCACTAATATGAAGAGCAGCTTCTGGTTGCAAATTTTTAAAAATGCTATATTTTCTTTTGTACTTTATCAAATTAATTTATTTCATTTTTTTATTTGAAACATTTACATTAAACATTTTTAATTTATTAATTTTATGCCCACAATTTTATTTTTTGAATTGTCTATTTTTGTTATTGTTTATATTAAAATATATATATATATGTGCTGATAAGTCTGAGTGGACCGTTGTATTTGTTCAAATAATTGTTATGGGCAGGTTACAATAATGTATAAAAATGTTTGTTATAATCATGTCTTGTGATTATTTGGCTGGAGTTTTACTTTTAAACTGTAAGTGTATTTAATTTAGTTATGATAGTTTAGTTATAATGTAAATACAAAAAAAATTAAACCAAGATTTAGAATAATTATCATTTTGATCCATACATTAGTAATGTCTGACTGGGCCTCGTGTCACTTTATGTTCAACAAATTGGGCCCCGAGGTCAAAAAGRTTAAGAATCCGTCTTAAACAAAGAGAACTATTTATTTATTTATTTATATTTGTTTCTTTCAGACCTGTACCAGCGTTGCCCTACAGACCTCCAAAGACTCAGAAGGACTGCTGAGCCCTCGGGCCTCAGATGAGTGGGACGATCCCAAATCAACAAATGACAAAAACTTTTGTTTTGCACTATTACCTGAGACTCTTTCGGACCTTTCAGACCGCAGGAAGAGTCGCAGCTTGAAGTGAAAAAGGGGACGAACATCATCTCTTGGTGCTATGCCTCCTAAATGCGCTTTGTTGTCCTCGCTCAGGTACCAATGAACTATTTATCTATTAAATTATTAACTTTGCCAGTTTGTGCACAGGGAGTGCTTACGGAGAAAGGTGGAAACATTTTTTTAAAAAGACAGAAAGAAACATTTTTTTTACATTCTTTAATGATTTTTGTACTTTTTCTTCAATGAGATGCTGAGACATAGTTTAGAATTTTCTTACCAACAATTGCTTGAGTTGCTTCAATGCAAAAAAAAATTGAAATGGAGAGTAAAGCTAAAAGGAAACCGAGCACAAGTCATGGTTAAACTTGTAGCTCAATAAGCAGTTTTATTAAGTTAATGTGATTTATTTTATAGGATCTTCGGTATCATTTATTTTATTTTTTTGGCATGGTGCTTTGAAATTCAAATCCAATCACAGTTTACAACATAAAGCCAGACAGAAAAAGTGTTTTTTTTTTCTCCTTGTTTATATGGGGTTGTTTTGGTTGGCTTATTTTACAGCCTCCCAGCGAGGCTCTTTAAGTCCTTATAAGTTCACGTTGTTCCACGCGTCAGACCGGCGCTGACGTTCACCTCGGAGCATGGAGAAACTGCAGAGTGTCGGTGGATTTTGACAGACTGATTGTGTTACAGAGAATTCCATAGGCACCAAATAATTCACTATTAACTCCGGTGTTTGTGTGTTGAACATGTTTTTGTCTCCTGGTGCACGAGCCAAAATGACCTCACCTCTGTGGTGTCCAACAAAATGTTCTGTCTTGTTTTGTCTTCTTTTCTTTTTTTCCTCATTCCTTTTCAGTTTTGTGTTTCTTGGCTGTTTGTGCRTTTACACATTGTTTGTTTAATTGAGAGTTAAGAAGTTGTTACTCTGGTGTGATCAGTTTTTAACGCTGCAGTGTTACAAAAGCTCACAGCAGAATGATTGGAGTCGGTGACGCCCCGCATCGTGTTTGTGTGCAAAAAAAAAAAAAAGGGAAAAAAAAGTGACAGTGATGCTTTTATTGTCGACAAAGCGCTCTGATGTAATAAAACAGCCCGGCTAATGGTTCTTTGTTGGAAAATATTCATTGAAATTTTGTGGATTCTGTTCAGTGTTTTAGCCATTTGTAAATCGTGTATAATGTTCAACCATATTTTTAATGTAACATGTTTTAAATCACTGTAAAAGTGTAAATATTGTGTCAGTTCTTTTCTTTTGTTTTTTTTTTTCTTACATGCACAGAAATGTAATAACTTCTTTACGTCTGTTTCCTATTTATAATGAGTGGTGAGGACAGGACTTTTTTGATATTTTCTGCCCACACTCTCACTTCTAAGCCAGACTTGAAATTCAAGCCAAATAAAAGTTTCTTTATGATGGTTTGAAAAAAATAAAAACTGTTTTAATTTTATTTTCATTTGACAGATTCTGCTGCAACATTTGATCTGATTTACCTACATCAGGTATTAAGATTATAAAAAAGTAAAGAAAAAAAGGCTGTAAATTGTATTTTTTTTTAAATCAAATATCTTACTTAGTCAGCACTGCCACCTGTTGGACAACGAGGGCTATTACTTCAACAACAGCACAAACTATTTTTTTTCTTCTTTATTTGTGAACAAAACAGCAAATAGCCAGCATCAATAGTGAAACAAAATATAAAGATATGATATGTCATATTACTTCTAATAATGGGTAAATTAGACAAACAGAAAGATCACTCCTCCTATAAACTGTATAGTTTTTAAACATTTTAATCAGAAAGTTAGTAAAAGAAAAGCTGCAGAAAACTGTCCCAAAGTTGTGGATTTWTTTTTTATTTTTTGCACTTTTTATGTTTTTCCACCAAATACAAGACTTATCTGTACTTTTATTGACTGAAAACCTTTTTGTTTTACTCTTTAGTCAACCTAATTTCAATTTATCTGACAAACGTTTTACTCTCTGCACAGATTATTGTGCTTGTTGTCTAGTGTCCATTGCCGTGTCCTCCTGGGTCTCTACAAATCCACTCCTGCTCACACCAGTGTGTGTGTGTGTGTGTGTGTGTGTGTGTGTGTGTGTGTGTGTGTGTGTGTGTGTGTGTGTGTGTGTGTGTG